ATTCATGGATTCTCAAGGCTTCTCCAACCACTGGGGGTATCCACCACCATCCGAGTGGTATTACCCCGAAACTTCCTGGAGCACCCAAGGAGGAGAAGACTATGGAGTCGGGTTTCAGTACCAACCCCCCTACTACGAAGAACAATCTGACCCTTGGGTATTTCAAGAACAATCTCATTATCAAGAAGAATTCCTCCCACAACTAGAAGGGCCATTAGATCTTGATTTAGCCACAGCCTTCACGGGCCATCCAGCAGAGCCATGCTACACTCCACAGCCAGATCCAAACTATCACTTGAGGCTTCTCGTGGATCAGATTGCTCGAGTACCTGAGAGATCATTTCCCGAGATGGATCCTCGTATCCAGGCCATGGCCCAAACTGACTTCCCCTTTCCCCGTGAAACAGAGGATACCCTTTAGAGCATAAAGAAGCACATAGAGGTCATTGAGAAAGCTTGTGCAGAGTTTTCTCAAGACAACCTTTATGCTGCCATACAAGTAGATGAGGAGGAAGAAGAAGGCAATCATGAGGATGTTGAGGAGTAACAGAAATTGTCACGGAAAGCTCCCATGATAATCATGATCAAGTGTATCCTCTGGTGGTCGATCAAAACTGTCCCCATTTCCGCTCTGATATGCTGGGCCCGAGCGATGAGATGCAAGATGATCTCATTGAAGAAATTACATGGCGACTTGCTCTCCAATCTGTGCTAGAAGAAGAAGAGCGAGAAAGGGTGAGGGAAGAAGTTGTGGAGGACGAGGAAGAAAGCAAAGAAGAGGAAGTTCTTGATCTTTTCCAAGGGGAGAAACCACATTCTGATGAAGGAAGGGGGGTTAAAGAAGCAAGTGGTGTCCAGGCTGATGATGAAGTTGAGGTGGAAGAGGCGTGCACCGGTCATGAGTTACATGTGATATATCCACCAAACTTCTAGGAGATACTTGGCAAGGACCCATTTGCAGTGTCTCTTTGCCAGACCAAGACCACATCAACATCGATCCCTCTTGGTGGATGCGATGGTGGTCAATCGAATATATCTTATCTGGTTTGGGGCAATGAGACAAGAGCAGACGCGAAGGAGAGGTCTCGAGAGTGTAGACTTCATCTTCCTCAAGGCCACGAGCCATCTTCATCACCTATCACATCACATGCTCGTGACTTGAGACTCCACATCATCTACGAGAACCTCAACTTCAAGGAGGTTTTGGGGTGGACCGAAACTGAGGAGCCACCGCCTGGCTAAGACGTAAAAGAAGCGCTTGTGGGGAGGCAACCCCACCAAGGTTTGTTTTCCTTTCGTTTGTTTTTGGTTTGTCCACTTGGAACTATGGTTTCTATCACCCAGTGTGTTTTGATGACTCTAGCCCTGCTGACTGGTCCCATTTCCAGCCCCCCGATAGTCCGTATTCCCGGTAACATCGTTTCCCCTTATCTTTCCCTCTGCTCCATTGAGGGCAATGTCGTGCTTGAGTGTGTTGGGGGGGTGTTTATCTATTTTTTACTGCTATATGAGTTTGTGTGCTTGGAGCCTAGTCCGCTGTCCAATTTGATGAATTGAGGGCTCCAAGTACTGTTCCCTGCAAAATTCTACTCAGTATGCTTTGAATTGACAGTCTTTATGGTGATATGCAACCTAGGGAGGTAGTTGTAGCACTATGGAGGATGTTGAAGTATAAGATTTTTCCTATCTGTCTCTCTGTTGTGTCGGTTGATTTTGTGAACTAGTGGATTTAGGACCGTTGATTCATGAGGTATTGCTGACTCCTCTTATGTTGTAGTGTGGACTCGTGTATCGAAAAAGGGTGCTCAAGTGTGAAATGAAAAAGCAGTTGGTCCTCCATGTCAAAGATTTTAAATTCTAAGACATGGGGTAAGCCCAACATGTGCGGCACCGTTCATTGCACAAAATCGGGTTTTGGAAGAGATTTTAGTGTTCCTTGGTGGGGTAGGCCTACAAGGTGAAGCTAAGTTGTCTCTAGTACAAGTAAAATTTCCACCCGTTGAACGGTTTGCCTACTTGAGGATGTGTTTTTAAGGTAACGGATAGAGCTTCCGACCCCCCTTAATTTCATTGACCCTCCACAGGAAGTGAGGAATAGGAGTTAAAAGAAGTACTCTGGCGAGTGGCAGATGTACAGAAATTTCTCTTGCTCACCTAATAAGTGCAGACCGCGCATACAAACTGCAGTTGGAACCCCAGCAAAGTAAAGCAAAAGAAAAAAAGAACAAATAATAAGAAGAAGGGGTTCCAACAAGTGAAATGAAATAAAAGAGCACCCGATACAAGGAGTCCTTAGTTGTTGAATTGTGTGAGTCTCCTTATCCATGAATTGACTGTCTTAGTTCCATTGCTTCTCATGATCCTGGCTTGAGTCTAGTACTCGCATTGAGAGAGATTGGGGGCGTCTTAGAAGACCAGTTGACCTCGTAAGTTGTTAAATGATCTAGAAAATCCTCTGCCGACGATCGGGGTTGCATGTTGCTATAGAGGTCTGGAGAGTTGTATTGGTTTGAGTCAGGTTTTCTTGGGGACAAGCAAACGGTTACATGTGGGGGAATTTGATGACTTGATATATACACATGTTTTTATATACCATTCCTGTAACCTTTGAGTCTCATCTCTCGTGTTTTAGGACGATTTCCCGTTAGGTTGTTCTTGTTTGTGATATTTCAGGTCCTAGTACGTGAAAGAAGGTTTGGGCACGAGTTCGAGGTCGATTGTACAAAGTTGGGACGTTTGACGAAAAGCTGGAAATTCCACACGGGCATACCTAAATTCCACACGGTCGTGTGACTTGGCCGTGTGGAATTCCATGACGCGGGCAAGCCACACTGGTCGTGTATGGGATCCCTTGTGGCCGTGTGGAAAGTCCAGGGAGCTCACACGGCCAGACTGAAAATCCACACGGCCGTGTGCCTTTGGCCATGCAGCGTGCCTAAAGTCCACTAATGGAAACGCGGCATTTTCACATCCACACGGGCAGACTGGAAAGCCACACGGCCATGTGGCCTGGCCGTGTGGTCGGTAAATTCTGGGTTTTAATCCAATTTCGAGCCAAAGGTGAGGGAATCGAGTTTTTGAGCAAGAAACAGAGCTCTAGAGAGAGAAAGTGCGAAGAACACATCCTAGAAGTGATTTTGGAGCTAGGTTTCATCAATCGAGCTTGGAGATCATCATAAGAGTGAGAATCATCATCCCATAGCAGAATTTCCTCATCTTTATGAGGATGACTACTCTTATTTCTTTTTTCCTCTCTCTCTCTCTCTCTCTCTCTCTATGGAGTAGAACCTTCTCTCACTTGGGTATGAAGAACCCTAGTTCCATGTGTTAGGGATCTTGATTGAAATGACTTGGGATTGTTATACTGATTGATTATAATCGATTGATGCATGATTCATTGAGTCACTTGAAGTCTGATAATCTTTTCTTGAATCCAATTCAGTAATGGAGTTCTGCGTTCATAGCCTCAGCTTTCTATCCTGGTGAAGACTAGTCGTCTGCCGGGTAGTTGGACTGAGAGGGCTTGGTCAGCTTAAGAGATTCCAAGCTACTGTCGGATCTTCCGCAGTTTAATCAACAGTTAATCAACCCAGGGTAATTACAACCTCGACCTAACTAAGGAGCTAGGGGGACTCATTCCCGAGTGACTCTTCCCTTGGTAAAGAACTTTGAACTATTTCCTGCTTTCTTACTGCTTTTAGTTAAAATCACAATCACTCAACTTAGTTTGCTAGATAATAGATATTCACGGAGTAGGCAGTAGATCTAGACCCCGGGTTGACAAATAGAGCTTGCCTGTTACTGCATTTCCAGACTGCGATTACACTTGGTCACAGTATGGTGTTGTGTTTTAGCGTGTCACTATGCCGGGAGCTAATGTCTCGAGCCTCGTGCGGGGGAAAGAAATGTAAGGGGGCTGGAGGTAGTAGGTGAAAATTGGGAACGGATTCTCGTCTCCCCTTACACACTTTCGCCATTTTCGCACGAGAGACATTATTTTAAAGCACATTTTTTAGCACCTTCTTTCAAAACATGGTACAGGAGTCCATGACATGTAGAGAGTCCACAATACCACACAATTCAAGGGTCCTAAGATCACTAATTCACACAATCAACCAACACAATATGAAGAAGAAAGGAGACTTCTTAAATGAATCAACATCCTCCATAGTGGTACACTACCTTCCTAGGTTGAATATCACCATAAAGACTGTCAAATCCTAAGCATACTGGGCAGGATATTGCAGGGAATAGTACTAAGCCCTCAAATCGAAATTTGGACAGTGGACTAGGATTCAAGCACACAAACTCATCTAGGAGTCAAAGATAGATACCCTCCCCCCCCCCCCCCGATGCACACACACACTTAAGCACGACATTGCCCTCAATGGAGCAGAGAGAAAGATAAGGGGAACGATGTTACCGGGAAACAACCTGTCGGGGGGCGGCAAATGGGACCATTCAGCAGGGGCGGACTAGAAGGGGGACCAGTCCACAGAGCTGGAGTCATCAAAATGAAATGGGTCATAGAAACCACAGTTCCAAGTAGAAAACCGAAAGCAAACGAAAGGAAAACAAACATTGGCGGGGTTGCCTCCCCACAAGCGCTTCTTTACCGTCGTGAGCCGGACGGTGGCTCCTAAGTTTGGTCCATGCTAGAACCTCCTTGAAGTTGAGGTTCTCATCGATGATGTGGAGTCTCAAGTCACAAGCAGGTGGTATGACAAGTGATGTAGGCTCGTGTACTTGATGAATATGAAGTCTCTAACAGCGAGACCTCTTCTTTTCTTCCTCACTCGTCTCTTTTCCCAAAACCAGATATGGCAGCATCGACTGACCACCATTTTTTCCACCAAGAGGGACCGATGTTGATGTGGCCTTGGTCTGGCAAAGAGACACTGCAAATGGGTCCTTGCCAAGCAGCTCCTCGAAGTTTGGTGGAGATATCACATGTAACTCATGGCCGGTGCAAGCCTATTCCACCTCAACTTCATCCTTATCCTGGACGCCAATTGCTTCTTCAACCCCCCCCCCCTCCTTCCTCGAAATTTGATTCCTCCCCTGGTAAAAGATCAAGGACTTCCTCTAATTCACTTCCGTCATCCTCCACAACTTCTTTCCTCATCCTTTCTCGCTCTTCTTCTTCTAGCACGGATTGGAGAGCAAGTCGCGATGAAATCTTTTCAATAAGATCAGCTTGCATCTCCTCACTCATGCCCGCCTCTTCAGCGCTCGGTGTGGGTGTAGAAAGGGATGGGCGGCTACAACAAGACATTTCTGATCATGATCATCATGGGAGCTCTTCGTGACAACTTTTGTATTATCCACGACATCCTCATGATTGACTTCCTCCTCCTCTGCTTGTATTGTAGCATAAAGGCTGTCTTGAGAAAACTGTGCACAAGCTTTCTCAATGACCTCTATGTTCTTCTTTATGCTTCGAAGGGTCTCCTCTGTTTCACAGGAAAAGGAGAAGTCAGTTTGGGCCATGGCCTGGATATGAGGATCAATCTCGGGAAAGGATCTCTTAGGTACTCGAGCAATCTGCTCCACGAGTAGCCTCAAGTGATAGTTTGGATCTGGCTATGGAGTGTAGCATGGCTCTGCTAGATGGCCCGTGAAGGCTGTGGATAAACCAAGATCTGATGGCCCTTCTAATTGTGGGAGGAATTCTTCTTGATAATGAGATTATTCTTGAAATAACCAAGGGTCTGATTGTTCTTTGTAGTAGGGGGGTTGGTACTGTAACCCGACTCCATAGTCTTCTCCTCCTTGGGTGCTCCAGGAAGTCTCGAGGTAATACCACTCGGGTGGTGGTGGATACCCCCAATGGTTGGAAAAAGCCTTGATAATCCATGTATCAGATCTGCACCAGCAAAAACAAAATACCCAAGTGAAAAGAAAGGGTGGAAAAGAGAGGATGCATAATATTAAATGCTAAAGTAACAGACTTTCACATTTCTACAATAACCTAGGGTTCCCCGGCAACGGCGCCAAAAACTTGACACGCTAAAACACAACACCAAACTGCGACCAAGTGTAATCGCAGTCGGAAATGCAGTAAAGTGGCGAGCTCTATTTGTCAACCCGGGGTCCAGTTCTACTGCCTACTCCGTGATTATCTATTATCTAGCAAGCTAAGTCGAGTGATTATGATTTTAAGAAAAAGCAGTAAGAAAGCAGGAAATGGTTCGAAGTTCTTAAGCAAGGGAAGAGTCACTCGGAAATGAGTCCCCCTAACTCCTTAGTTAGGTCAAAGTTGTAATTACCTTTGGTTGATTTACTGTTGATTAAACTGCGGAAGATCCGACAGTAGCTTGGAATCTCTTAAGCTAACCAAGCCCTCTCAAACAGACTACCCAGCAGACGACTAGCCTTCACCTGGATAGACTGCTGAGGCAACAAACGCAGAACTCCACTACTGGAATTGGATTCTAGTACAAAGCAGTAAATCGATTAACTCTCGTATAACCGATCTACCACTACCGATTGATGAAGCTCTAACAACCTAATCAAATTCTATCTATCTCAGGTTGCAGCAGAAATCAAGAAAAGATGATCAGGCTTCAATTGACTCAATGAATCATGCATCAATCGATTAAAATCAATCAGTATATCAATACAAAGTCATTACAATCAAGATTCCTAACATATGGAACTAGTGTTCTTCATACCCAAGTGAGAGAAAATTCTACTCCAGAGAGAGAGAGAGAGAGGAAAACAGAAATCAGAGCAGTCATACTCATAAAGATGGGGATAATCTGCTTTGGGATGTCGATCTTCACTCCTAAGGATGCAATCTGGGCTTCAATAGTGAGAAATCCACTCCAAATAGCTCCTAGGGTTTGTTCTTCGCCCTTTCTCTCTCTAAAACTCTGTTTTTTACTCAAAAACTCGATTCTCTATCCTTTGGCTCGAATCTGCCTAAAAAACCCGATTATGGGCGAAATACGGGCAGAAATACGGTCAAAATTCTTCCCTGTCCGTATTTTGCCCAAAACGCGCATTTTGGTTAAGTCTCGGCACATTCAAGGCTCCTCTCGGCACTAAAAATACGAGCATGGGAGGGAAAAATACAGTCGTATTTCTCCTGTCCGTATTTCTTCCTCCGCTCCTGTTTAATGTTTCGTTTCTCCCTCAACCGGACTCTGAATCAGTCGCCGTTTGATCCCAGACGCTCGTAGTCTCATCCTCTTTCTTTTCATGACAAGTTTACATGATTATTTGTCCATAATATGAGGTATAAGTCCATTATTCCTCTGGTCATGCTCGTATTTCTTCTCCCGAATTGCCAAATAATCTCCGATTGACTTGAAACTTGCGCTTATACTTCAATTTACATACTAGGACCTGAAATGTGATAAAGGAACACAACCTAGCGTAAAATAGTCCAAGAAAGCAAAAACTCAATCTAAAATGATCAAGAAACGAGGGTGCAAACATGTGAAAATACGACGTTATCAACTGCTTCCTCGGAGTGGTGGTTACTCCTTCAACCGCCTAGGTGCTTCTCTTGGAACCGCTGTGGATCTTGAAGTGTAGCTTGCATCGCCTAGTCTTGTTCTAAATCTCGTGCCATGCTAGTCTTTTGATAAGCATGTGGTGTCTCACAAAGGGGGTCGTGTTCCTCTTGCCTTGCGGCCATGGACTTCTTGTCTGGCGGCCATGGACCTCTTGAGACATAGTCACTAGTGTAATGCTCCATCACCACACCCTTCTCATTTGTGTCCATGGCTTCTCTCATGAGGCGGCATGGACCTCTCACTCATGCACATGGCCCCTCTCTTGAGGCGGCATGTCCTTCCTAGTGTATTTTGGGACGTTCGGACTTAGTCATGAGGAGGCATGGCCTCTTCATTCGTGGCCATGGACTTGTCAATCATGTCTGTGGCCCTTCTCGTGACAGGGCATGGCCTTCTCATACTTAGAATTTTCAATCGTGTCTCGCGTCCATACACCTTCTCGTGAAGCGGCATGGCCTTGCCTGATTTAGAATATTTTGTGTCGTTCAGTCTTGGTCATGAGGCGGCATGACCTCTTCATTCATGGACATTGACTTCTCAATCATGTCGGTGGCCCTTCCCGTGACACGACATGTCCTTCTCATACTTAGCATTTTCTAATCATGCCTATGGCCTCTTGTCTCACGTCCATGTCCATCACATGACACAACCATGAACCTTTTAATCAATGCCTATGGCCCTTCTTGTGAGGCGGTGTGGTCTTCTCATACTTAGTATTTTTCACCCATACCTAGGGCCTCTTACCTCGCGTCCATGCCCCTGTTCGTGAGGCAGCATGGACTTCTCAGACTTAGTAATTTTTATCTCCATTGAGATAGACTTATTTTGGCATGATCACGTGACTTGAGAATTTCCCCACGTCCATGTTCCCTCTCGTTGAGATGGCATGCACTTCTAGATTATAAACGAACATGACCCTCTTCGTGAAGCGGCACGTCCCTCTCCAGACTTAGTTTGTTTTTATACAATCTCATGGCATGGCATGGCATGGCCTCCTACGAGAGGCTCATGTCACTTATTGAAGCATGTCCATGCTCACTATGACTTAGTGGATTGGCTTAAAATCAATATTAATAAGAACCAACTTAAATAACATTAATTGTTATAATTTATGTGGCCTTATAAAATCATTAATTACCTTGTAACTCACCAATGTGGTACAAGATAATTTTTGGGGTGTAAACAGGGTTCCCGCCATCATTCCCCTCGTCGGTTACCAAAAAGCTCCGATTTACTCCCCCGGGTCTTGAATTCCTCCAAGCGAAGTTCCCATACATGTAGTAGCAGTTCTCGACCCGCCGACGGGAGCAAGAAATTGGCAGCATCCGTGGAATTGGGAAATGAGAGGCGTGCGCATTTAATTTTTCAAAATGACCATCGTGCACTTTTGATGCTCTAAAACACAACACCTAACAATGGCCAAGTGTAACCAATGGAAGGGACTGCAGTATAGTGGCTCAAGTGATAAATATCGAATCCACGGGTCTCTAGAGTTACTATTACTCAGCTTCAGTTTATTATTTAGCAAACCAAATTAAGATGAAAGAACTAAAACTACTCTAGCAAACTACAGTTAAAGTTAATCTAATTACAGGTTGGGAACTCACTTAGGTATGATTCCCCCTAGCCACTAGCCAGATTAACGATTGATGATCTCTAACCTGTTTCACTTTCATTCACAATGCGGAGAATCCTTGACTAGACCTTGAGTCTCGACTAAAGGAACAAGGCCCTCTTGAGTCAATTGCCTAGAGGGACGTATCCTTCTCTAGAACAACTGATCAAGGCGTTCTGAACTAGACTCCCTCTATCGAAAGGGGTTCTCAATCGATACAAAGCAGTGAATCAACCCTCGACTAAAGCAATCGATCCACTACTATCAATCTATGGTGCTCTATTGACCTAATCAGGTATTCCCTCTCATAGAATCAAAGCAGAATCAATAATCTCGACTAAAGCAGAATTGAATCATGAAAACATGCATAGATTGAATATGAACTCAAGATTATCCAGTCAGAGTACTCATACAATCATCCAATCAAACAAACATAGCTAGGGTTCCTCAAAACCTAAGTGAAGGGAAGTTACTCCATAGAGAAGAAAGAGACTGCAGTAAGAATCTTCAGATGATCAGTCTTCAAGTCCGGGCTTGTTCCTCGAGCTTCCAAGGCGAAGAAATCCTCCAACTCCACTCCAAGAATGCCCTCAAATCGCCCTCTCTCTCTTTGGTTCGTCCCTTGGGTGTTTGGGATCCAAAACCCAGCTCTCCCCCTTCTTTGGTTCGGAATTTGGCTTAAAACCAGGAAATCCCGACTCGCACGGCCAGGGTGCACGGCCAGGGTGCACGGCCGTGCATATCACCATTCTGGCCGTGCAACTCAAAACGCAGCGTGTCATTTAGTCGAACTTCAGCCCTCTCGCACGGCCAGGGTGCACGGCCGTGCGAGCTTCAGGGGTTGCCCGTGCGTGTCCTCGGCATAAGGCGCACGGCCATATTGCTCACGTGCACGGCCGTGCAGCCTCCCTGGTCTGCCCGTGCAGCTTGCTCAGCCTCTGTTTAATGCTTCGTTTCTCCCTCGTCCGGACTCCGAATCAGTCGCCGTTTGATCCCAGACGCTCGTAGTCTCGTCCTCTTTCGTTTCATAACAAGCTTGCATGCTTCTTTGTCCATAAAGTGAGGTAGAAATCCATTCTTCTTCAGGTCATGCCCGAGTTTCCTCTCTCGAATCGTCAATTGATCTGATTGACTTGAAACTTGCGCCTATGCTTCACTTTATGTGCTAGGACCTGAAATGGGACAAAGGAACACAACCTAGCATAAAATAGGCCACAACACACGAATATGCCCCTCAAACGGATAAGAACTAGGGGCGCAAACATGTGCAATTACATCGTTATCAACTTTCTTTACAAATTTGTAATTAATTGAGGTCAACACTTAAAACTGGAAAAGTAATCAAAACGAAATGTTTTGATTGGCTGGAACTATTGTTAGTATGGTGCTAACAAAAAAAAGTGTTAGCACCCTAACCTTTTCCCAGTTACTTTCTTATTCGTTAATTAATTTGTATAATCTAAAACATTATTCATAAAAAAAATCTAAAACATTAGATGAAAAATTACTACGGTTGAGATGTGCTTAGCATGGTCCATGAAACTGTATCGGATATCGTATCGGAAAAATCAGCGGTGTAAAATTTTATGATAAAATCGTGGTTTAATCGTAGTTCAACCGTTATATCATTAAATACCGCATACCGATTTAGCCTCTAATACTGATATTTTGTGGTAGAACCATCGGTACGGTACGGTTTCATGGGCCATGATGCTTAGTTAAGTGACTAAGGGCTCCTCGCAATCACCTGATCTCATCTCTTTTTTCGTTAGAAATTATTCCATTCTTTCGCAAATATTGAGTTGCGAACA